GTAGATGTCTTTAACGTGCAGACATCCAGTCTGCAGATCTTAACTCAGTCTTAACCAATCAGCACACAGTGTCTGACCTTTCTGAGACTCGTGCAGCTGCACTTTCTCCTGGTGGTCCCAGCCCAGTGCAGATTTATCCTGTCGGTCCGACTGGACTCCAAACTTTCCCCCGAAGCCCTTCACGTAGTCTGCAGGGACAAATTTAACCAGCTGTTCTCATTAACAGGTCTAAACCAGATAACYTTAGTTAATGTCAGAATAAACCCATGCTTGTACCAACTAACTGATAAATAAACTTTTATAAAAAGGACTAATCATCACACAGACATTAAAATATATTATTCAGAGAAAATTCACTGCAGCTGTAAATTAACACCTTGACTCTGATGAGAAATGAYAGAACAGAGGTCCAGCTGCTCTCTTCTTAAACCTTCAGGGTTTGTCTGGTCCTGGATGACTGACACCAGCGTTTACAATACTTTATATGTTGAGGACACAAAAATAACCCATGATGGTCCTAAAAACTGTGTCCAAACAAGTCTCTGGTCATTTGGTCTCAAACAGGGTGATGTTTTAAAGTCAGACAGCCTGGTGAGATGCTACATTTAAAGAGTGATGTAATGTGAGTTGTTCTCATGCTGATGATCAACAGGTTTTACATGTAGTTGTGGACCTTTCATCAGCTCAGCAGGTCCAACAGGACTTTAGAAGAATGCTGAGAGTTCTGCAGCAGATCTTTAAAACCCTGTCTTCCTGTTCATCAGKTCCCAAACATGTGAGAAGTTCCAACACAAACTCTAAAGGTGGCTGCAGGTGGAGCTGCTCTGCTCAGGTGAAACAGGAAGTCAGACAGGTCAGGACGTAGAGCAGGGTGTAYCCCAGCCAGGACCTGGTCCTCTGCAGACAGCAGGATCACTTTAAGTCCACTCACCTTTCTGGGACTCGTGCCTCTCAGTCTTGGCCTGGTACTCGAACCCCAAGGCGCTCTTGTCCACCTTGTCCGTCTCCACACCAAACTTCCCACCGAAGCCCTTTGAATAATCTGCAGAAGTCCAAACATCACAGGAGACAAGTTAACTCAGACTCACAACAAACACAACGCTGTGAAACCAGGAAACAGTTTGTTTTATCATGTTG